AAAAGAAAAGAAAAAAAGAACGAATTACATGCTGCAACCTGAATGGACTTCAAAGACAATACATTTAGTGTAAAAAGTCCATCTTAAAATATTACATAATATATGATTCAATTTGCATAACATTGTCAGAGTCATAAAACCATACAGATGGAAAACAGATTAGTGGTTATCAGGAAAAAGGGATGGGGTGGGATGAGGGATGGTCATGAAATACAAAGAAGTTATGTGTTGATGAAACAGTTTAGAACAGTCCTGTATCTTAACTGTGGTGGGGGTTACGTGAACGTACACATGGGATAAAATTTCGCACACCTATACATGCCCACATAAACACACCAATGAATGTAGGTTAAACAAATATAGAAAACTGAATAAGACTTGCAGCCTAGTTATCAGAGTGTATCATTGTCCATTTTCTGAGTTTTTTTTTTTTTTTCCCTTAACCCACATCACTCAGAAAATTTTCTTGTTTTGGTACTATACTATAGCTACAAAATACATCATCATTCAGGTTAAGCTGAAGGAAGTAAGATGAAAGGCATGTGTAACTCACTGTGAGTCTATAATTACTTCTAAATTAAAAGTTAAAAATATAGAATATATTGCAAGCTTTTGAGTGGCTCAGTTTCTGATAAGTAAAAAATGGTATCTCAGTTTTAATTTGCAGCTCTCTTATATTAATCACAAGTGAAGTTATGGGCATATTTTATAACATTTATATGTATAGTTGACCTTTGAACAACTCATGTTTACAAGTGCTGACCCCCTGAATAGCTGAAAATCTGCATATGACTTTTGCTCCTCCAATACTTAGCTATTAATAGCCTACTACTGACTGGAAGCCTAACTGATGATCAAAATTGTCAATTAACACATATTTCATATATGTATTATAGATTATATTCTTAAAGTAAGAGAAAATATATTTACTGTTCATTAAGTGGAAGTGAATCAATTATAAAGGTCTTCATCTTCATTGTCTTCACCACGAGTAGGCTGAGGAGGAGGAGGAGGAAAGGGAGGAAGAGAAGGAGTTGGTCTTGCTGTCTAAGGGCTGGTAGTGACAGAGAAAAGCCACATATAAGTAGACCTGCGCAGTTCAAACCCATGTTGTTCAATGGTCAACTGTATTTTAATTTTTCTATGAAATATTTATTTCTATCTTTTGCCCATTTTTCTACTTTAAACTTTATCTACAAGATTCCCTTTCCTTTCATATATTACAACCCTACACCCTGTATGTTTCTTTCCAAGACAATTAGCATTGAGTATTCCGTTTGATGGCAATAATAAAGACAGAAGCCATCCAGCAAAAAGACACATTAATCTTACCACTACATAAGATTCTTTGAATGTTCTCTTTAGGGACTTCATAAATATAAACAACCAGATACTTTTGGAATAATCTTCTCCATTACATCATCACCTAGCCTAAAACATTAAACCATTAATGTCAGAGATATTCCAGTATAATTTTCCTAAAACATATAATCTTTACTTACCACTTATCAAAGTAGGATGAACTCTTAAGTCTGTATTAACCACCTGACTACAGTAAACAAAGCAGAGTACAAGAATTGATACAAGGTGGATAAGCCTTCATCACATGAACAAAACATCTCAGAAGCTATTACATTATTATTATTATTAACACTTGTTCCCCAGGCAAGAAATAGCTCAGATTTATGTCATCATTCTGAAGCATTTTATTTCCATTAGAGATTTTGCCACATTGCTAACTTCAATTATATAAATGTGTAAAAAGCAAATTATACCACTTAACTTATTCTGGTCAAGAAATGCTTTTAAATAAAACATGAAAGTAACACAGATAAAAATGGATGCAAAGTCAACCAAATCCATTCCTCCTTAATGCAGTTAACACACAATGATCCCATCACCATAAAATCAAACTAATCAATATGGCAACAGAAGGATGGTGAATCCGATTTTATATACTAACACTGTAAATACAAAAAATATATCATTATTAAAGGCTCAAGGGATTTAAACAGCAAAAATCAATGTATTGTCAGCTTTTCATATAAAATCTGAGTTGTATTTGGAAAAGGAAAAACATTACAGTTTAGGCTAAACATCAGCGGAAGGGGCTAAAAGCGATAAATCTAAGACATTAACCACTGCAGTTTTAATACAATCCAGCATAATCTAAAAACAGCCTGTACTCAAACTTAACTATATATCAGAGACAAAAACATTTTATTGACAAAAAACAGATTCATGTTAATTAAAAGAAAGACAGTATTATACTGCACACATCTTGTTGCTTTAAAAATTGTAATTTTTTAAAAAAATGTACATACTAATTTACCTTTTATTGAAAATCAATTTCTTTCCTGTCCTCTAACAGAATTTTTTAATCAAGTTAAAATTTCAGAATATGTCATAAGTGGAAGATTGGGGCTACCAACCATTAACAGAAAAGGTAGAATGTTCCATGTTGAACAATATTTAAGATTCTTAACTTTTAAAAGTTAACATTTCTATGATTCTTCTTAATAAACATATTTGTTTCAAGTGTTATCAATGCATTTATCATAGACAAATGAACTTTTGCAACTCTCCAACCTACAGTACATTTCCATACTACAAAACTAAGGCTTCCTTTTTAAAGGTCATAAAAAGTTAATGAACTTGAAGAAAAAATTAAACCACATTTTAAAACATAAGGCCTAAATGTTATGTTTTTATATAATTATATGTCCCCATACTTCCATTTAACAGAATAAATATATGAATTACACCTCTATTTCATCAAAAATACCGAGATAACAGTTTCTATTTTGAAATAACCCCAAATCTCTCCATCAACAAATGCTAGATCTTTAACAGATGTATGGTCCTAGACAATGTTGAGGAGACTTGTTACTACCCAATAAATGTGGGTGGCCTTGTAGGTGAATTAATTAAAAATCAAAAAATCAAAGAACAAAAGGAATTTTTTTACTCTAACACAACACTAAAGGTTTATACTTTTCATTTCAATTAAAAAAGAGAACATTTGTGTGTATCCACATCAACTAATTAACACAAGGTCATTACAGTCAACTGAAAAGTTTTCTAGCACTTCATTAAAAAAATACAACTCTGTAACATATTTGGCTAACCACAAAGTTAAGACAGGAGAGGCAGAGAATTAGTATTCAGATTTCAAGTAAAATACAAGAGCCAAATTTAATAATCCAGAATTTCAAAGTTTTTTTGTTTCAATTGCAGAAAAATGTTCTTGAAATGCTGTTAATCTTACTATAGGAACTAGCACATAAGCAGCTGCCAAGTGTAATTTTTCATCAAGACATCAACCCATATATACTGGAAACAGATTTTCTCAAAACATATGCAATATTTAAGGCTAATACCTTAACAGCTCACACAGTTTCTAAGCATTGTGTTCTGAATACAGAATTAAATATATATTCTATATAAAAACCAAAAGGAATTTTATTTCACCAATACTGTCCTACTCCTATCTCATTCTAGGAATTGATTCTAGATTGTATTTTTATATCAGTGATCACACACTATCAGAATAAAAAAAATTACCTTCCTTTAAGAAACATATATTTAAAGTGAAGACTATGACACAAAAGAAAATAGAGTTCCTGAGTGCAAGGGGGAAAAACGACCCAAATTCTATCTTACCAGCAAGATTTATATGCAAATGTAACATGTATTTCCATGCTTCTAATCACTCATTGTAAATGTTTCTAAAGCTAGATTGTTAACATTACAGTACATTGTATCTGAAGATACAAGATTTTATAATAAGCTATTGCCACATATGTATTCTGATATGCCACTTTAAGATTTCACATATTTTATGTTGATAAGAAAACATCTGTTATAAATTCTCATACTACTCAGTAAATTATGTAAGTTGCAATTATTGATTAATTTTTTTTTTATAAATTCCTCCCAATAGGTATGGTCCTGCCTTTAAAAAGAAATTTATATGGCTGGGAGCAGTGGCTCATGCCTGTAATCCCAGCATTTTGGGAGGCCAAGGCGGGCATATCACCCGAGGCAGGAGATCAAGACCAGCCAGGCCAACACAGTGAAACCACGTCGCGTTTCTACTAAAAATACAAAAATTAAGGCTGGGCATGGTGGCTCACACCTGTAATCCCAGCACTTTGGGAGGCTAAGACGGGCCGATCACTTGAGGTCAGGAGTTCGAGACCAGCCTGGCCAACATGGAGAAACCCGACTCTACTAAAAAAATACAAAAATTAGCTGGGCATGGTGGCGCACACCTATATCCCAGCTACTCAGAAGTCTGAGGTAGGAGAACTGCTTGAACCCAGGAGGTGGAAGTTGCAGTGAGCCAAGATCGTGCCACTGCACTCTAGCCTGGGCGACAGAGCCAGACTCTGTCTCAATAAATAAATAATAAAAATACAAAAATTAGCTGGGCGTGGTGGCATGTGCCTATAATCCCAGCTACTCGGGAGGTTGAAGCAGGAGAATCGGTTGAACCCAAGAGGCAGAGGTTGCAGCGAGCCGAGATCGCACCATCACACTCCAGCCTGGGTGACATCTCAGAAAAAAAAAAAAAAGAAAAAAGAAAGAAAAAGTAATTTATTAATCTTATAATTTGGGTTATGACAAATGTTATTACATACACAAAAAAGAAACAATAATTGAGTCTCTGGGGTGGCAAGTTAAGAAAAAAAGAATATTATGAACAGAACACTATTAAATGCTACATAATTATTTATTTATGAAACAAATGTCCTCACAGATGAGAGAATCTCTTAGAACCTGGACTTTACCTTCAGATTTGATACATTAATAATGTTCAAAATAGCAGGTTCTAACATGTTACTAATCATTTTTAAAGAAAAACTTCATTTGAAATAATCTCAATTCCTCAAATTCCAAATTGATAATCTCCTAGACCAAACACATTTTGACTAATCTTGATCTCAGCCCCATCTTTGCAAGTAACACACATTGTGCGCACCAAAAGTTCTTCTTACCTGGCCCTCTCCAACAGTTTCGGTGTCAATAACTGTGATGATGCCTGGGACCAAAGGACTCCGCCGCGAATTACTGTGGATGGCAACGTCATCTTCTGTCACACCTGAAGGTAGCGTGCCTGTCAGCTGAGTCACCACTTTCCCCACCATTGTCAGGCCACTTTTCAGTGTCTGTACAATGAAAGGTAAAATGTATGACTTCACATCAGTATTTGGATTCTACATAGAAATATGCATTTTATTAATTTTCCTAATCATTATGTTAAATTCTTTATTCTCTTACAATCTTTTATATAGCAGTAAACTGTCACAGACATTCAGTTTGACTTTTAATGATCTTGAATTTTAATTAGAATATCTGTATTAGTTTGAGGGAATGGCATCAGTAAAGTCTCTAAAGTCATCATGGCAGGGATAAAGCCATAGTTAAAAAAATTAAAGAGCTCTGTTTTACATAAGGGTGCAATTACATTTTTATAAAAGATATTTCTTTCATTCTCTCCTCTTAATGTATACATCTTAAAATCAATGACATAGAAAGAAGCAGAAACTATGAAATGATCAATTTTTTGAAATATTATAAATCTAATTGTATATGTTTTCTAGTATGAAAAAGACTGAGACATTGGTAGAATACCTATGTGGAAAAGAATGTGCTTCCAAAGCAAATATATAAATATGCTGGTATATAATACTGTATACCAAGATTTGGTATATGGGAAACACAGTCTCTGTCTAAGATATTAATTACTGGATGAATGAAGTATCATACTAAATTAGTTGAGAGTTATTTTCTATCTGGTAACAGAAAACAATTAAATGTGGTGCTCCTACTATATTATTTCAATTAAAGATAACTTAAGATGTTTATAATTATATTTTAGCTCCATTTCATTCAAAACATGTAAGTAAAACTAACTCATGAAATATTTTTTCTTCTATGTAAATATCCTCTGATTATCCTCATATGCATTAACAGAAACATTTTTCTAAATAACAAGTTTTTTCATCTGAAAGGAAGAAAGCTTCAAGTTTGAGTCTATAGAAAAAAAAAATGAAAGGAAGAAAACTAAAATAAAGACAAATATATGGGAGTCACACATTGCTGAAGAAGGGTATCATCAGTAGAACCAAAACAGGCACCCTAGAATACTTAAATATATCAAAAACTACATTTTAAATAATATAGGTACATTTTTCCAATTCTCATGTTGTTAGAAAAAAAGTTTCATTAAAATATTTCAAATTAATCTTCAATGAGGTGACTATCTTTTCTAAAACAATTATGAAAAAATAATTCTCACCTAATTCTGGCACATGCTACGGCTAAATTTGAAAATATAAACTATTATATACACGGTATTTCAAATTTTAATTCATAAATAGTACACAAAGACAGTTGTGTATAGAGGTCTAAACGTGATTTAAGCAATAATTAGATTAAAATTGAAAAGGGGAGAAGTATTTTCCAAAGAAATGTTCTATTAAAATACCATAAAACTAGCACTAATAATAGATGCATTATTTTATTTTGCTATGTTTCACGGTGGTTTTTCTATGGACTAGGGACTGGTGAAGGCACTTAACATAAACTACGTTGATAGATTTCCTCAGATACTTCAATTTTATGAAAGAGAAAATCAAGGCTAGGGAAGTTAAGTAAAATGGAAGCTCAAACAGTTACCCAACAACAAAGTCAGAATTCAAAACTGGGACCATCTGTCTCCAGGGCCTGATTTTTACACTATCCTGTACTGCCTTGTAATCTATTTCTGTTACTACTTGTGATCTCAGAGTTAATGAATACAAAACACAGATGTCTGATGGGTGGAAAAGAGGAAAAATTAAAATCCATAATAATGTACTAATAAATACTTAAATAAAAATGACCAGCAAAGCCATCTGCTGAATTCAAACAAAAAGATATAACTTAACAGCAGACTAAAACCAAGAGAAAGCCACAAATCAATTGTAACTGTTTTGTTTAGTGCTAAAAACTCAAACTCCAGTGATTATAAAACACATTAGCGTTCCTCAATTAGCAGCCAAACATTTCTTTCAATAATTCACAAGAAACGACTTACACAAATTCTGTTAGACTGTTGTCAAGTAAGCCTCTGAAGGACCAACAGAATGAGGCGCCACAGTGTATTGATGTCAAGAGCAGGCCAGGAAGCCTGATTAACCTCTGAGATGCCTCAGTTGATGTACTCACTCCATTAATGCTAATGGAGATGCTCCCACTTAAACGCAGCTATCCCTTTATCAAAGGAATGCCTTTTAGTTTTAAAGTCTTTGGTTGTATATCCTCCCCATTTGCCCCTGAGTCTATTATTTCATGCTCTTATACCAATGAAAAGGAATAAAACTAAAAGAACTGGAGCACATAAAAAGTGGAAAGTAATGTGTACCAAAGCAAACCACAACAGTAAAAGTTAACATAAGACAACCAGGAAAAGAATCCACAAAGAGAAGACGGCAGTATATTTCATAGTCAATGGCTCATATTACACGAAGAGTGTTTGATATTTCCCTGGGAAGAAAAAAAAAAAAAAAAAACCATGACTATTGATGGAGGTGTCTTAGTAGTGGACAAAAATCTAAACTCAAAATTTAAGTCATCACATCTGCAATCTGTACAGCAAGTTACAAGATACTTCTATTTATCATAATCCATTAACCATGCAGGGAGTCGGGGGGTTAGAGAAAAGTGCTGAAAGTTTTCTGCATTTGTAAAGACCCTTGCTTTTAGGGTAAATTTGTTTCCATGTTAGCATCAAGCACATCTATGGGCATTAGTGTCCAGAAGTTACCTGATAATGTTATTGAACAGAAATCTAAATCACCTCACAGTAATTTGTCTCTCCAATTAATTTTAGTAGACAGAGTATGTATATATCTGTTTTCTCAAATATATATGAAAAATTATAAAGCCTCAGCAAAAATTAGGAATAGAGAAGTATAACCTGGCCAAAAGGAGATGAAAAATTAGACTGAGTGTCCTCACAATCTGAGTTATCTACATAAAAATGTTCATTAAATCACTGATGAATCTTCACACGAGTACTCACATAACTAAACTGGAGCTGGAAGACAGCTGAACATCAGAGACTATAACGAAAGTGTGAGAAAATCCGTTATGACCTATAATTCAAATGAGCACGGTACTTACTCTGTTCTGCTGCAAACAGATTTGCCGAGGGGTCACTAGTCATCTTTAACCTTTCCCATGCCATATCAGGTGGCCTCCCTATCCATTAGTGCTAATGGTGCTGCTCTCACAAAAGCTGTTAGTTGTCATTAAGAAGTTATCAGATAACAAGAGAAAACAGGGGCATTTTTATTAAATCAATTGACCACACTGGGGTTAACACACATGAAAATAAGACTGTAATGAGGGAACTAGAAAATATGGACCAAGATTTTATAAATGTGTCAAATAATCTCATTTGAACAATTTCAATATTAATTTTTTTCTTTTTCACTACCATAAAAAATTAATGGTTCTGATATTCTTTATGAGGAAAGTCAAATTACTTGGAAAATCAAAGGAAAAAACGTTAATATTATGCAAGTTGTATTTGGAAATGCAGAAAATGTAAAAAAGATTATTTCCTCTAAGGAGCTCCAAGTACATATGCAATGAATATATTTATCCTCACAATTGCAGTGAGACAAAAAATTTAAGACAAAAAAATTAATAATTAATCCTTCTATATAACAAAGTGGTTAATAACCTCTATGAAGCCACAAGGGAAGTTGTCATCAGAAAGAGTAAAAGAGTAATGATTACACTTTCAGAGAAAGTGACTTAATGAAATAACTATAAAATTACTTTAAGATAAGTATTTTTCTTAAGGAGCACATACTACATGGCTTTTTAACATACTCTCCGTGTTATATCTCAAAAAATGTATCACCTAGAAATGGTTAAAAAAGAAATAAGGAAACGTATTTTCTAGTTTCAATAATGGCAGGCTGGGGAAATCAGATCAATCTGATTTCCACTAATGAAAACAACTAGGAAAATCGAAGAGAGTATTTTTGTAAAATGCTGCTTGAAGGTACTGAGTTACAAAGTCAGAATCCGAAAGAATAAGGAAATTCAGACATTTCAGCTGGGCATTTAGGCCGAGAGGTATCTGGTGATTCTAGGAAGCAGGAGGTAGGGTGCTAAGAAACTAAGTGGTGTTTTTGATAGATGGAACTAGAAAATCATCTATGAAAGTCAAAGTCCTGCCAAATGGGTCTACTTGGTGACATTCCCTCCAAGTTTGGTTCTGAACATAAAGAAATATACAATAGAAGAGTCCACCGACAGCAATAAGGCGAGCACAGCTATTGCAGGTGAACTTCATTTAAATAATCTTAATCCCTGAAATTGGATTATTACTCAAGACTGATACTGTCCCAGAACTCCACTGTCATCCCAAACTCAAAACTATTTCTAAAAAGTTTTGAAATAAATTCTGGCAAACAAGTGATAATAGGAGTTAAAAAGAAATTATGCAGGCAGTTAGTGAGAGTAAGGGAGTCCTCAGCAAGGTTTTCCTTTAAATAAAAATCAGCCCCGAAATTATTTCTTTTCTAACAAAAAGCAGCCTGAAAGATCAAGCTGCAAGCATAGGTGAATGCCAGCAGCTATGCCAATAGAAAAGGGATATCTGGAAGTCAGGTATATTCAACATAGAGGTTCCCTCTTCCCTTTTCGTTGTCACCACATGTGCAGGCAACATGGCACCAGCCAGATAGAGACTCCATTTGCATAATAAAAGATTATGGTGGGATAGCCAGCCTCTACACGTTATGTAAATGGCACACCTGGTCCAACCAATCCACTACACCCTATGTAAATCAAACACCACCTCCTCAAGCTCATCTATAAAACCAATCACATCTCACCCCAATCCCAGAAACCTGCTTGGGCCCCCTCCCTCTACAGGAGGAGGCTCTCTTCTTTCTTTCACCTGTTAAACTTCTGCTCTTAAACCCACTCCTTGTGTGTCCGCATCTTCAATTTCCTTGGCATGAGACAACAAACCTCAGGTATTACCCTAGACAAACGACGCCGCTTCACAAGGACTCAAGTCATCATAAATGAGAACCAGCAGAAACAACACACAACAAAAACGGACCCAAAAGGGAACCAGACATTAGAGTTATCAGAAACAGACTTCAATATGACCAGGTTTACTGTGTTTAAACAAGTTTGATAATTTGAGAAAAATTTAAAAATCCAAAGAACCAGAAACTATTTATTAAGATATTATCAATGAATATATGTTCAATTTTATCAAATACTTTTTGTTCATCAATTGTGATAAGTATATAATTTTATCCTGTTAAATGTGCAAATTATGTTCATTGATCTTGAGTGATAAACCAGCCTTATATTGTGGATTATCTCAAATGGATTGTGATACAATACATAGCGTCCTATATATTGAAGAGTTGTGTTCTATATATTCTTATCCCAAGTGGGTTGTGACACAGCAAATATTGTGTCCTATATATTATACTATAATTATGTCCATATATTCTTATCCCAAATGGACTGTGATACAATATATATGGTATCTTATATAATGTTGTTTTTCTGCAAATATTTTATTTAGGATTTTTCACATCTATGTAGTGTTCTTGTATTATAATGTTCTTCTAAAGTTTTAGTATTAAGGTGATCTGGCTTCATCAAACCAGATTAGGCATAATCTGACTTTGCTTATTCTCTGGAAGAGTCTTTGTAATATCGCCATTGTTTATTCTTAAATATTAAAAAGAATTCTCGAGAAGGTTTCTAGGTCTGGAGACGTCCTTGTGAGTTTTTTTAAAGTAACCCTTATATTCTCCCAAACAGAAAAGTAAACAGATTGCAGTGGCGCAATCATGGCTCACTGTAGCCTCGGCCTCCAATGCTCAAGCAATCTTCCCACCTTAGCCTCTGGAGTAGCTGCAACAACAGGCATGCACCACAAATTTTTAAATCTTTTTGTAGAGACAGGGTCTCACTATGTTGCCTAAACTGGTTTTAAATTTCTGAGCTCATGCGATCCTCCCACCTCAGCCTCCCAAAATGCTGGGATTATAGGCATGAGGCACAGCATCCAGCCCTAAGGTGTTATATCAAACATAATTTCTTAGTCTTAAATGTGGAAGACATGAGTATAAGCCTCACGGTTCCCAATATTGAGGTATGAGAAAATGGGGAGTTTGCACTGTTTTTTTTCACTTGTTTGTTTTGTTTTGTTTTTTGAGACAGAGTTTCGCTGCGTCGCCCAGGCTGGAGTACAGTGGCACAATCTCGGCTCCCTGAAACCTCTGCCTTCTGGGTTCAAGCAATTCTCCTGCTTCAGCCTCCCAAGTAGCTGAGATTACAGGCACCGCCACCATGCCCCACTAGGATTCGTATTTTTAGTAGAGATGGGGTTTCACTATGTTGGCCAGGCTGATCTTGAACTCCTGACCTCGTGATCCACCCACCTCAGCCTCCCAAAGTGCTGGGATTACAGGCATGAGCCACCGCACCCAGCCCTGCACTTATTTTTAAAACATCTTAAGTCCAGCCTCACTTACTCCAGCATGTCCCTAGCAAAACATGGAATGAAGATCACTTTATTTTTATATAAGCACATAAACACATAAGAATAGCAAACAGGAGCTGAAAAGTTATCCTCCATTCCATAACTAAAAATTACTGAAAATGATCATAAGCTAAACTATCGTGATCCATGTGTATAAGACAGACAAGACTAAAAGGAGTCTAATACTTGAGAAAAAGATCTCATTGTTGTATTTTGTGGATAAATTAGTAGACTAATACTGAAGATGTTTTCTAAACACTCTCTCTCAGCTCTTCATTGAAATAACCATCATAATTTTTGTATACACAGTGGAGAAAAGTGAGCAATCTTTATTAAGATTTCTGCAATTGCTGGGGTGCAGTGATGCACACCTGTAACCCCAGCACTTTGGGAGGCTGAGGTGGGTGGATTGTTTGAGCTCAGAAGTTCAAGACTAGCCTGGGTAACATGGCAAAACCCTGTCTCTACAAACTATATGAAAATTTTGCCAGGCGTGGTGGCATGCGCCTGTAGTCCCAGCTAATTGGAAGCTGAGGTGGGTGTTCACTCCAGCTTGAGCAACAGAGCAAGACCCTGTCTTAAGGGAAAAAAAAAAAAAAAAGATTTCTGAAATCTAAAATTCACAGTGCTATAGGCATAAAGACCTAATGGTTAATTCTCTTTTGGGTGCAAAATACGTAATGCTTCTCTCGTCAAACCAAGGACCACATTCTGAAGCACATCATGTAAGCGTCTGTGATCAAATATGAAGTATTTTTGTTTTGTTTTACATAAAACAGTGTGACCTTTGATTCCCACTCTGTGGTTTGCTTTAAACTGTTGTTCTTTTCTGAATGGTTGTGCTTTCTATTATATGCTGTCATTTAGATTCACTCTGTCATTCCTATTATTAGAATTGTTTTGTTGTATACTTCACAATTCAAAAGGATAGTGGTTATAAGAATACCTTATAATCAGCATAAAGTTTACCAGACATCATCAAAATTAACCCTCACACACATGAAAAAAAGAGCTCACTTGACAAACATGAAGGGGCAGCCCCTTGATATGAAAGAATCTTTGAATGTGACGAGGGACTGACTCAAGTTTTCAGAGGGAATAATATTCTTTTCATGAGAAGACGACTCTGAAATGTTCAAAGATGCAAAGGGATGTCAGTGTAGGTAGAACAATGAAAATCACAGAGAATCCAGAAGTCACTGTTTAAACATGGAAAGCTTCTTCCAAATGTGGTATTAATGAGACAATAGTCTTGAAGCTAGCTAACAGGCTTAAAATCTTTAAAACTGGGTAAGTGCAAACACTACAATCATTACAATAGAAAATATAATTCAGGAGAGAAATCTGAACAATTACTACACATAATCACAACTCTCCAAGATTTCGGAGGTACTCACTTTAGCAGCACTAATGACTGTGGCAGTATAAGACTGAATGTTGTCTCCACAGGCTCCACCACGGGACTGATGACATCGAATCAACTGAGAAAAAGAGAGAGAGAGGGGCAGAAAGTCATTTCTATTAATCTGTTTAACTCTACAGGCTATTAGGATAGAGCTTATTTACCGTGCACAGTGATGGTGATAGGTGGGAATGTTTGCATGAGTGTATTTCAGACAAACAGCTAAAAGCTCTGCTGAGACACTTTTACCCCTTTTTATAATCTACTGGTGCCACTCAAGCAGTTTCATGCTCAACTACGGTTTTCATTACAAGACGAATAGTCTTTAAGAATCCATAAACTCTGAAATGGTAGGAGGTCTGGTGGCCTTTCCACAAATAAATTTTAAAAACATAATCAAAGGACTTACACATGACTTCCTAACTTAAATATCTGACATGCTAACAAGTTAGATGTTTTATGCTGTTAATTCCTCCATAAAGATTATAAAAGAAAACATAAAAAGTAGACAAAAGATTTTGTCATATTTGCATTTTCAATTGTGTCAGTGGAAAAGGGTTACAAATTATGCATAAATCAACTATGACACATATACTAGCTGTCCATAGCAGAGAGCTTAAACTTTTACCATTAGGAATGAAAAAGATATATCCTTATTTGTGACTGACGTAAATAAAGCAAACTACCAATTTTCAAAGTGAATCACTACTTTGATATGCATGATTATTTCACATGCTAAGAAATAAACCAGGATAAAACTCTCCACTGGTCGTCTACTTCCTATATTTAGCAAAAAATGTCATTAGCCAGATTTCTATGTTTAACATTTTTAAAAAACAAAATGACAAGGGTAGAGTATTAGAACTGTACACATTATGAGTTTTTTAAAACCTCTGGAATTCACAAAGAATCTATATCTCACAAAACATAAAAATTAAAAATGCTTTACATCGTTTAAAACCAGGTCCTCTGATGAAGACTGATATGTAAACCTTTTATTCTTAATTCAAAATTTTCTTCATCACTGACACTGTTATTTTAAACATCCCTGAAAGCAACAGTAATATATTATAATAGAATGGAACACCCTTAAAAGTATGATATGCAAAGTCAAGATTTTTTTTAGGCAATCTCTGTTATGTCACACTGAATGACTGCTTAAGTAGATTTCAAAGAGAAGTAAGGAACTTGCCAAATGATAGCTGTTCATCAAATGTGGTTTCACATAGAGTAAGATAAAGAATTTGAAAAGTGATCATTTTAGCAAATAAAAAGAATCTCTCTCTTGCTCACTCATTCATCCACAAATACACATTCAAAGAATTATGAAAATTATTCCTCTGCTGCCTCCTGCTGCATGAGCAAGGAAAGAAAGGCTATTACTTATTCCCTACTTCTGGTAATTAAAATACTCAAGGACAAATATGTAAAACTAAACAACTCTTATCTTTTTTTTTTTTTTTTTTTTTAAGAGACAGAGTCTCACTCCGTCACCCAGGCTGGAGTACAATGGTATGATTTCAGCTCACTGCAAACTCTGCCTGTTGGGTTCAGGCAATTCTCCTGCCTTGGCCTCCCAAGCAGCTGGGATTACAGGCACGTGCCACCATGCCTGGATTTTTTTGTGTATATTTTTAGTAGAGACAAGGTTTCCCCATGTTGGCCAGGCTGGTCTCAAACTCCTGGCCTCAAGTGATCCACCAGTCTTAGCCTCCCAAAGTGCTAGGATTACAGGTGTAAGCCACCATGCCTAGCCCTACTCTTACCTTTCAAATTCAACTACAACTGAGTCAGCAGTTCTACATAAAAGTAACTAAGTCAGAAATTTTGGTCTACAATTTAGAATCATCAGAAAATTACGTTTGTATCTTGGTTCAACAAAATGAAAGATGAGTCAGAGTTTTCTACAGTGCAAAATCCTATCAAATGAACTAATTTCCAGGAAATATTATTAAGCACAAGAAAAAAAGGCAGTGTGCCAAAGAGCATATATACTATGTTATCTTTTGTGAACGAAAGGGATAGAGACTTTGGTCAAAAGCCATTTGATGCTCATCCCCTCCACTTAGAAGAACCAAAATAGTGCATAGAGAATCACACTTCAAATACACTGTCCCAGGTAAAACACTAGAACTCAACAGAGAACTAACAGGAAACACCAAACGTGGGTAGGAGAAGGAAGGCAGGTAGCCTGCTTGGCTAGGATAGGCTGGGAGCTGGGAGTGGCTTCCCAACACAAGGCAAGGGTAAGTAAGAGAATTCCAGCGGCCCACATCCCCCACCATGGAGCCATGCAATCTCAGCCAGGAGAGAGACCCTCAACCCTCCCAAGCCCTGAAACTTAACACAGGGAGCTGCTGGGAGACTCTCAAACAGAACCGCTCCAGGGAGGTAACCTGTACTGGGTCCCATACACTTTCTGATACCTAAGTGGCTATAGCAAGACAACATTTTCTTTTCCTTTTCTTTTCTTTTTAAGAGACAGGTCTCACTATTTTGCACAGGCTGCAGTGCAGTGGCTATTCATAGGTGTGATGCCACTACTGATCAGCATGGGAATTTTGACCTGCTCTATTTCCAACCTGCGCTGGTTCACCTCTCCTTAGGCAACCTGGTGGTCCCCTACTCCTGCAAGGCCACCATATTGATGCTGAACTTAGCGCAGACACCCGACTGGCATAGTGCACTACAGCCCAGAACTCCTGAACTCAAGCAATCTTCCTACCTCTGCCTCCCAAGTAGCTGGAACTACAGGCACAAGCCACCATGCCCAGCAAAGACTAATTTTCAAACCTGGTTTGGCAGATGGCATGCTGCTCTGGGACCTAGAAGCACTGGACTGAGGTGTTTAAAAAAAAAAAAAAAAAAAAAAACTCAGGAGTCTGGAGTGGTGGCTTCACACCTGTAATCCCAACACTTTGGGAGGCTGAGGTGGCGGATCACCAGGTCAGGGTTCAAGACCAGCCTGGCCAACAGGTGAAACCCTGTCTCTACTAAAAATAGAAAAATTAAGCCGGGCATGGTGGCACACGCCTGTAATTCAACTAGCTACTCAGGAGGCTGAAGCAGGAGAATTGCTTGAATCCAGGAAATGGAGGTTTCAGTGAGCCAAGATCACGCCACTATACTCCAGCCTGGGCAACAGAGTGAGACTCTGTCTCAGGGGGAAAAAAAAAAAAACTCAGGCTGTCACTGCTAGGACTAGGGTGTGATCTGGGCACATTCCCGCAGTAGGGGCTGAGAATCAAGTAAAGCATTGGCTGTAGCAGCTACCAATGCAGGGAAGCAAGTGCTGCCAGGACAGAGACTGAGACACGAGCAGGCATGAGTTGCCACTAAGACTTGGTTGCAAGCTGGGCAGAGGCTCCTGCAGCCAGGGATGGGGGTGAGACAGGTATATGCCATTGCCACCAGGACTGGGAGGTGAGCTCCACTAGAATTGGAGTGTGAAAGAGACACATTTTCCCCACCTACCAGCCTAGCTGTGGCCACTGAGGCCAGACCTACCCTCTCCAGAGGCAGCTTCAGGGCCCCTCACCCAAGAACTGATCCTAGGACTACCCTGTCCCCACCTACCATGGCTGGTATCTGCTCTCACCATTGGGGAGCCTGAGAACAAGCCCATCCAGCCTAGTTCTGCCCTCAATCCCCCAAAAAAGAACATATAACCCAGGGTCCTTGGGACTGCCCAACCCAATCCACTTCTTTGGGTACATAAGCATTCCTCCAGGGGGTCTAAGGTTGGGTCTTATCTCTCTGCCACTGCCTCAACAGCTGGCATCTACCTGTAAACTCCAACTACAGGCCTGGAGACTACCTCCCGAACCCCCAGACCACTGCAGCCACCACCAACATCAACACACACCACTAGGAACAAAAAGAATTATCTTGCCACTGCTACTGTCATCACCGATGTCATACTGGCTGCCCAGAGACCCAGGAACCAGCCCACCCACATCATTCACCACTGCCACTACCAGTATCCAAGCAAGCTACCTGGAAGACCAAGAATCAGCCCACTTGTAACCACCAATATAGGTGCCAGTGTACACTACTCTGGGGCACAAGGATAGGCACACTCAGCCCAATGCTGTCACCACTGCATACTGATGACCAGCCAACCTGGTATCCCAGTCTCCAGCAAAACTTCACCACAGCCACCACGAATAATCACACCCTAATTCATTAAGTAAATAATAAATACCCCTAATGATGTATACAGAAAAAAAAATCAGACTACATCACTGCACATACCCAGAATCAAGACCAAAGTGTCCTATCCAACCAGTACTATAGTTACATCTTCATTCATAAAAAAAAGTCCTCTACAAAAGTAAATGTAAAAATATGAAGTAACTGTTGCACCAGATGTGTAAATATCAATGTAAAGACAGAGGAAACATGAAAAATAAAATATGATGCCTCCAAAGAAACACAATAACTCTCCAGCCAGATTCCAATCAAAACAAAATTTATGAGAGCCCATATATAGGACTCAAAATAATAATTTAAAACAACCTTGTGAGATACAAGAGAACTCCGAAAAAAATACAGAAAAATCAGAAAAACAATTCAGAATATAAATGAGACATTTACCAAAGAGATAGATAATTTTTAAGAGTCAAATAGAAATTCTGGCCAGGTACAGTGGCTCATGCCTGTAATCCCAGCACTTAGGGAGGTCGAGGCAGGAAGATTGTTTGAGCCCCAGAAGTTCAAGACCAGTTTGGGCAACATGGCAAGACCCTATCTCTACCAAAAAAAAAAAAAAATTAGCCTGGTGTGGTGGCACACACCTGTAGACCCAGCTACTCAGGAAGCTTAAGCAAAAGGATCACCTGAGCCCTGGGGGTCTAGGCTGCAGTGAGCTGTGACTGCACCAGTGAACTTTAGCCTGGATGACAGAGTAAGATCAGTGAGATCCTGTCTCTAAATAAATAAATAAATAAATAAATAAATCTGACTACATCAGGCAAAAGGGAGAATCTCAGAACTTGAAGACAGATCTTTTGAAACAATCCAATCAGATAAAAATAAAGAAAAAATAATTTTAAAAATGAGCAAAGACATTATGACATC